CTGCTCGCTGGAACCCCTCAACAACGTCCAAGTGTGTCTGCTTATCGCCACCGGAACATGACTTGCTGCGAACGCTGTTGGGCGTGGCTGGCTTCTGGATCATGCCTGATTGCGCGAAAAATTCTTCCTGGCGAATGTAGCACAGGCAGAAGGAATACCGGTGGAGAGACCAGCTGTGCCTCGTCTTACCACTCTGACCACGCACTGCGCAGCATGCAAACTCTAAAGCGCCACGGGAATATAACGAGACGGCGCATTGGGCCTGGGCGTGTCTCATCTGTGCTCATCTGTGAGGGCTTGTGCTTATCTCTAAGCCAAACACCGTACCAAAGGGTGCCCCGTCACGTGACGGTGAGGGGTTGGCGTGATCTACAGCCGTGGTGAGACATGGCCGGGTTGGACAGGCGGTTGCGCGAGGCTGTCATCTGAGTATCACCGAGACAAGTGGAGCAGATGAAAATGTTTGACGTGTCTTGTCGCCACGAGTCTATGCTCATGACCGTTGTGTCCATTTGAGACAGCTACTACTAAACTATAGCTAGAGCGGAAAGCAGGCGCCGCGTCCAACGTCGCCCGAGTGAGAGGAATACCCAACCGTCCTGACCGCCGTGGTCGTGATGCAAACGCATGTGCTGGACAACCCCCAGTCACCAACCCTCGCCGGGGCAGTTCGAAACAAAGATGCTACATGCACCAAGGGGATATATAAATACTTTTAATCGTACACCGCGTCCACGTATGGCAACAAAGGAAATGATACAAGACTAGAACGCAGAGCAGCGGTGATCGATATGCAGGTGTACTCCGTGGACCCACGCCAGTCTCCGCTGTCCAAGGCCAGAGACGGATGCAAAATACTAGAGAACAATGAGAAACCGAGACGAGGGCAGAGCATCTTGGTCGGTTGTCGTGATTGTCGTTAAACCAAACTCCAAAAGCAACACATGTGAGAGCAAGGCTAGTACTGTGTGTACCGCCTCTTTACGTCCCGTGTTTGGTCAAAGGATCGCATGTAGCTGTTGAGTTGGGTTGCTGCTTGCTGCGAGATGCCTGACTGGGTCTGGGAAGACTGCGAAGCTAGGGACGAGCGTGATGACGAGGGCGTGAGGCTGCGTTGTGGGGATTGCCTTGTTGCGGTTGGTGGTGCGAAGTAACTGCCATTTGCGGTTGGGTAGTAGTGGTACGGGCTCGAGGGTGGTACTTGTGAACTCGAGGCTCCTTTGTATGCCGAGAAGTTGATTGCAGGGGCGAGGTAGAAGCCGCTGTTGGATGATGACGATGACGAAGCGGATGATGACAGTTGCGAGGGCGCTTGTGCTGTGCTGCCAGCCTTCTCAAGGTCGGCTAACCGACACGATTGCGAGCAGTAGACACCGTTCTCGGCAATTTGACGATCGCAGGACAGGCAAAAGTCGTTGAAGCACTCCATTTGGGAAGTCATTGTGAAGGTAATGTGGTGGTGTAGAGCAGTAGTGGTAGAGGAGGTGGTGGTGGTGGTGATGGTGTATATAGCCGCCGACGAGATGATATCGGAGGGGTAGTAGTGTTGGTGGGTGGTAGTTGGACTGAAGAGGGACGAAGGGGGTCTTATGAAGATCTCTCAGGTAGGAGTCATGAGGTAGTTATGAGTTCGTGAGCGGAGGGACCGTGTGGAGCTACGGGAGGATGATGGGGCACACATAGTATACTTAAGTCGCGCTCAGGCACTACGGCTGACAGGGATGGTGGGTGGCAGGGTCCACGCCGTAGTCTCCGCATGGCTGACCATGCACTGAGATGCAGCCAAGGGAATTGAATTTCGAACAAGCGCTGTAAGCCCGCACCCCTCACCACCACCACACTAATCCGGCTCTAGCTCGTCCACTGTGCGTTCCGGCGAACAGGTGCAGAGCGAGCGCCTGTCCATTCGCTCCATGCGCCTACCCTACCCAGCAGGCTGCGTTTTGGCCACCGGGGTGCTGTGCTGCCAGCATGCCCTCGCCCTCTGCCCTCGCCATTCGCTCGTCCAGAGAGATTTTCACCCTCTTGCAGCGAACGACTTCGCGGCACGTTTGTCGATGCTGCAGCCAGCAGAGCGTAGAATTTTCGGCCGCGGGGGGGGGGGGGGCAGTCGTAGCCCATTTGCGTAGTGATGGGCGCTCTATCTGGTGACACCACCGTCCGAGAGTTGCGTGATAGCAGCGCGACGCGACAACGTCCCTCCATGACGAATTCCCTCGCTAGTCATCTGCGCGGCCCTGCGCCGGACGGGCAGATGACTGACGTGCAAATCTAGGTACAAGGCTTCCTATTCCAGTTTGATGGCGCAAAGAAGCGGAATGGCAGTTATCGGTTTCAGCAGTCATGAGCACCCTCCCACGCAACCCTGCTCGTCTCCTCTCTCTCCAATCCCATCCAGTTCCACCTTTCAATAACCGAACGAACCGCTTGCCCCAGCGTTAGGCCCGGTTTTCGCTATCTTCGGTGATAACGGACTGCTCTGCAGAGGCATCATTTTGCACGCGCTAGCATTCTGTCTCACTCTCAGCCCTGCAGCTAAGTCAATTCCATACTCTTACGCCAGCCGTCTTCCGTAAGCCGACTATCTGCACACACTGAATGCTGAGCGATGATATTGAGCCTCGTAGCGAGTATCTGTAATGCAAGCACACCACTCTCGATCACGCAATCCACTCTGTCCAGCTCTCCTGGTTTAAATTCTGTCGATAACGTCTAGATACACATACTTGATCACAGATGGCAACTCTGCAAGACGTTGTCTTTCGCATCCAACGCGCTGTCTTCCACTTGCGGGATTCCGGCTCTGCGCTGCAGCGACGATCTTCAACACAGGATGCAGGACACACCATGCTCTGAACTGCCGCCTCCTGAACCTTTTCACAATTTCTCAACACATTTTTTTTTTCTTCTATTTCCGCGCGGCTCTATGCGTTTTCCGGTGTCTAGACACGCGCCTGGAGGAACTCAGTGCTTCGCTTCTTGCTGAGCGCCTCAAGCCTCTTTTTCCCAAACAGTCAGGAGCAGACCGACCTGGACTCTTGGTCATGGCTTGCTGCCCCCATCGGGGGTCGGCGAGGGCGAAACAAGTATCGAACGGTGGTAAGAACGCATGTTCGCTTGTCCATCTAACTGTTCATGGCTTGCGCAATCTGTGCAGAGCATTTTCCTCCAGTTCGAGTACTCTGCCTCCCAGCAAGCGAGATAAGACGCTCGGTTCAGGTGACTGCGTTCCTGCTAAAGCATACGTCCTGCAAGTGGCTCAAGGCTTCATGGAGGCCATGTCCAGACGGACGAATGATCGAGCCGCCCCCAGCTGCAAGTCACTTGGTCGGCGTGCTCCAACACGAACAGCCTGCATGACCTGACAGAGAGACAGCCCCCACGGTGCTTTTTCCAAGGTTCCTGTACGACATGGCCCTAGACAAGCCACCAAGCGAACCATCTGATGCGTACAGGCTATCTGCAGGAACGGTTTGGTCTTATCGCGAGATCCTCGCGGTTAACGAGGTCCCTTGATATTCAACTTCTATAGTCCCCCTCCTTTACCATGTCGCGCGATTCATGATAATGCAATCACGGGTGCAATCACAGCAGCGCGACCAATGCGATACCCAAAAACAGATGTGGCCCGTGAAAGATTATCTTCCCCACAAAAGATGCGGACACTTTCTAATTGCGAAAGATGGCGACATTGCCAGGGAGCGGGCCATGCGCTGTATCGCCAATGCTTTCGAAACGGCTGTCAGCCCCAAGAAACAATACATCGGTACAAACAATTCTCAACAAATGTGCATCGATCATGCAGCCTCTATGTAACAGCAACTCTGATCATTCATATAACACAACGTAATGCATCGAAGGCATCCAGACTTCATATATGCTAAAGTATGGCACCACTCGATTCCCTCAAGGCCATGCAGCGAATCGCTTACGCGCTCCACTGCAAGATGATGCAGGACGCGGGCTGTTCAATATTCGTGCGTCTCACGTCCCTCATCATCACCAACATCTGCGCCACTATGGGGAGCTTCAGGATGTAGAGCCCCAGGTCACTCGAGGAACCTTGCAGAGTGCGAACTGCACCTTCAAGCAGGCAACGTGTCCCAAGTAGCAGATGAATACATGCTGTATAACTCGAAAACAGGCGCCAGCAATCTATCGTGAACGCGGCACGGAGCGCCAACCGTCTCAAGAGACAACAAAGAGCAGCCTCGCCTCTTTACTCGCTTGAACCTGGTGGTTATCTCCCGAGTTTGGCACTCTCCCGAGACATCGGCCCGTTTTTGCTGGCGGGTGGACTGCGAGTGGGCTTTCCCAATAACTGTGTTTCCCGTTGATTTCCCGTCGCCGATACTGTAAGGGCCTCCCTTCGCGGGAGAAGCTCTGCGGGAGGAGTCGGAGAGGCGCCGTCGAAGCTACCAAACTTTCCATGTGTCTGGTGATACTCGACACTTGCGCTTACCAAGAAGCTCGTTCTTTCTAAGTTGTAAACTAGCTTCAGAGGTATGCACTATCTCCTATCTTGTTAGCACGGTAGCCATGAACACAGTAAATGCCACTAGGGTACAATTCCCGTAGGTATAAACAGGGAAAAGCGAGCTTCAGTCGCCTCACCAAGTTTTGGTTCGGACCGTCAGATCTCCGAGTATCTCAAATCAAGCAGAACCGAACTAGTCGCATGACTCGAACGCCGTCATGTATCTCGTTCACAATCAGTCACGAATGACTCTTGCGTAATCTGCGCCCCGGTGGAAGACTCAAGGCATCTCAGTGACATTGTGGTGTTGTTGACATCGTCGAGCTTCATATTTTGCAGCGATGGTACTGCGCACACAACGCGCGTTGAGCGCTCCTCTAGTCTCGCTTACTATGCACTTGCTAGTAGCTTGCCAAATACTTAATCACCTCATCTAAACTAATACTCTGCATTAACCATCAACAGAGAGCGACAATACGCCGTACATCACGCAATCGTAACCTAAAATCACACGGTATCTGCCATGGCCTACTCCGCCGAACTTCGCCTCGCCTTGCGCGCCGTACACCGGGCGTCTCTGCTCACCAAATCCGTTCTCCGCAGTCTCTCCAACAACGTGTCTGCGGAGACCAAAGCAGACGACAGTCCCGTTACAATCGCGGATTTCGCCGCTCAAGCTCTCCTAATCTCCGCTTTGCATGCTGCCTACCCTACAGATGCGTTTTTGGGCGAGGAGAGCGCTGATGCATTGCGTCAGAACGAGGCACTGGCTGACCGCGTTTGGCAGCTTGTGCAACAGGCGGGGAGCGAGTTTCATGTAGGCGGCACCGAGAGTGGTAAAGGAGACGGAAACTCGGTACAGGTTGAGGAGCTGGCTTCTCCGAAGAGTAAAGAAGAGATGTTTGAGCTTATTGATCGGGGAGGTAAAGGAGAAATCACCAGAAGAGGCCGAGTATGGGTCATGGATCCTGTGGATGGCACAGCGACGTTCATGCAAGGCCAACAGTACGCCGTTTGCCTTTGCCTGCTGGTTGATGGCGTGCAACAAGTTGGAGTGATTGCTTGCCCCAACCTCGCATTTCCTATTCAAGAAACTCTCGGCCAAACTTCAATCCACGAAGATCGTGTCGACACGGATGGCTTTGGCGTAGTACTATCTGCCGTCAAAGGACAAGGCACCTTTATCCGCTCTATGAACGCATCTGCTTCTGCGGGACTAGGAGAACCCCGGCACGTAGATTTGACCACTCTACCTCAAAAGAAGCCTTCCGAGCTAAATTTTGTCGAAGCAACACTAGGCAAAACATCGCTGTCGCAACCTGAGCACAACGCTGTTGCTACGTCACTTGGTGCCCAATGGCCAGGCACGATTCTTTGGTCTCAGCAAATGAAATACGTGGCTCTTACCCTTGGTGCTACAGATGTCATGGTGCGCATCCCTAAGACCCTGGACCGCTTTACTTATGTTTGGGATCACGCTGGTGGCCATCTCCTTTTCCAAGAAGCAGGCGGAGTTATTAGCGACTTCAAGGGTGAACAAATTGACTTTGCAAACGGACGGAAGATCAAGGGAGAGCGGAACTGGGGTATGATTGCCTGTATGCCTGGATTGTTTGAAGAGGTTGGAAAGGCGGTAATGGAGGTACTGAAAAAGAGAGATAGCTAAGCGAACGAAGTGTGGGGCGACGACCTCGACGTCGACATGCTGGTTGCGTAGTTATTCGGACATTATCATATCGTGTCCGCAGCATATCGGCGCGATCATGTCGGTCGGCATATCATTCGGGAAGAACATGATAACCCGGCCTGACGTCGAACAGGAAACCTTGATCGCGTAGTGTAATGATACACAAAAGACTCAAGCAGCCTCACCGGACAGTAACACACCATGGGTTCATAGAAAGGTGGGGTAAAGCACAAAGACCACCCCACAAAAACAAAAAGCGGAGTAAGAAACGACGACATGATGACATGAGTCTCAGCTGAGAAGAACTGGGTTCGGGTGTTCATCGTCTGCTGCACGCTCTTTGAGGGGCTGTACGTATAAAATAATGAACAAGGAACATGCCTGAACACATTATGCATGCTTGCGAGTGTTTTGATTTATGGGATCTGCGAGACTAACATGGTGTGTCTAGCCGTAATGGACAATGTGTACAGTATGCGGTTTATCATATAAACATCCTTGGTATAGGTGGTGGTACCACAGCGGAATCAAGTCCGAAGCCAACTGAATCAGCTCGATTGCGAAAAGGGAGTTCATGTTCATTGTTCATGTTGTGTAATACTTGCACTCCTCATAGTGAATGCATGCACGCGCATCTATGCTTGTATAACCACTCCGTTTCATGCACTCGTCCGTCCACAAGCCGTCTCCAGCCGCTGTTCGTAATAAGCTTGGTCTATGATGCGCCGCCGCCGTTCTTCCGGAATGACACTTTCTCCACTGCGACATTTTCGTTGCCTTCGGCATCCTTGCGTAGTTGGTACACGTACAGTACGAGAACATCGCCCTGAACCTGATTTTTTGTTAGCCTGATAGCCTAGTGACTCTTGTGCTGTTTGCTGCTCTTTGTCTGACCAGCTGTGGGTAAACTGACATCCATCAATACAAAACTCGGTGTAGGTTCCTCATCCTCAGTCCACCATCCCGTACACATGGCCCCCGTCGCACTTCCTGGATTGACGAAGAACTTGCCCTCCATTTCATACGCCTCGAACTTGTGTGTGCCGCCCCATAGCAAGACATCGACATCCATCTGCCGCGCCGCTATCAGCAGACTGTCGCCATCGCCGGGTGGTATGATGGTGTGGCCATGTGTGAAGCCTATGCGTAGACTGCCGTGCGTGACTACTTTTGACAAGGCGAGATTAGGTGCTTCGACGTCGAAGTCACCCTTCACGATTTGTAGGTCGGGCGCGATGGCGCGCAGGAATTCGTAGGTTTCGCGGTCGGTAATGTTGCCCAGGCAAAGGATTTGGCCGATCTTTCCAGGCGCGAGCAGTTTCTTGAACTATAGGGCCGTGTAAGCGCATGCGCGAAGTCTACTAGACAAAAGGTGCGGTTGTAGCAGGTCTTGACGGTGGTTGCGCGTGACAGAGACAGAGCAAAGCGTACCTTTGCCGGTATATCCTATGTAGCCTGTAAGTTTGTGAGGTCTAGCGTCGTGCAGGTTAGGTGTCGAAACATACTGAAGCTCGGTCTGGTATGAAGAGGTCGCCCAGGACCAGCACCAGTCGCGAAGCCATTGCAGCGGCGCGGTTGTATCTTTGTGCGCGCAACACGTGCTACAGGATAGCTCAGTTGTATGCGGAGCAGGACAGAGCGACTCCCAAGGTACGACGGGGATACAGCGGAGACTTACGGGGGTGTTGCGCAAGCTGGAGGTGGGTGTTGGGGAAGCTACCTATGCTGTCACTGGGCGGGCTCCAGTGGCAGAACCACAGCCTTGGCAGGAACGCCTAACACCGCCACCATGTAGAAATATCACTTTGCTGTCATCGTACATGAGGATATGTACAATATCACCAATATACATGTATAATTTCAAGCAGCAACAGACCTCCAGTCGTCTCCATCCTCTACCACATCGCCATACCAGCCGAAAAGATGCGCGGCATACTCTCCAGCCAGGCCCAGGCTGATGGCACCGCCAGTGAACCATGCACCATTCACGAACCACCACCAACAGTTCTTGACCTCCTTCAGCTTCACTCGTCGAATCATGGTGCCCAATGTGACTGCGGCTCCCCCAACAGTTCCGACAAAGAAGACAGGCCCTAACCCTGCCGCGACTCCTGTAGCGGATAGTAAGCCAAGCTGGACAACAGCGAGACCCGACAAAACCACTTTTGTTTCCTTTTCGTGCTTGAGCGCGATGCTCTTGATACCAGCTTTGGCATCATCCTTTATGTCCATGTGTGCGTAAATCATATCGTACAGAACGGTCCATGCAACGTTACTAGCGTAGAGGCAAGCTGCCGCTGTAAGTGCTGCTTGGTTCGCCAGTAGGTCGACTCCAAGAGCTGGGAAACCCATCATCGCACCCCAGGAGAAGGTGAGTCCGAGAACGAATTGAGGATAGTAGGTTACTCTTTTCGCTAGAGGATAAAGAGTGACCAATACAAGGGACGGTGTCGCGTACCAGAAGCACTCGAAGGGTAGCGACAGGAGGACAGCCAGACCCGTTGTAAGCTGTCCCCCAAGGAAGACAATAGCCTGCTGAGGTGTAATTGCTCGTCTAGCAAGTGGACGTAACCGCGTTCGTTCGACATGTGGATCGAGGTTTCGGTCCCAAAGGTCATTGATAGTACAGCCAGCACCTCTCATAACAAGAGCTCCTGTGAAGAAAAGGGCGGTTGTACTGATGATGGCGGATGGTGCAGCAAGGGGGGTCGCCATAGTTGCAGCGAGGAGTGTGCTGAACATGCAAGGAAAGAAGAGGTAATATGTGCCGACCGGGTTGTGCAACCTCATCAGCTCACCATATGGAACGGCTTTTTGAGGCAGGTAAGATAGGAAGCCAGTAGTGGGTGGCTTGTACTCGGGAAGTGACCTCGACGGTCCATTGTGTTGTGCTACCACCGTCGCCAGTCTTGATTGCAAAGATGCCCGATGTTGTGTAAACGGCTTGACGAGCTGAACAGATTGTGGACGGGAGCCAGCAAGTGATAGATATGTCGACAACTGCCTTTGTCTGTGAGTAGAGTGAAAAGTGGAATGCTTCCTAGCAAACTGCCGACACATGGCCAAGGGCCGTGCTGCATGACGTGGTAACGCCATGTTTGGTGTTTTGCCGGTTAAAAGCGTATGTGGGTTCGCATACAGAGATACGCAAGTCAGTCACTTGTTCCTCGTTTGCTGTAGTATCGTTTGGGATCCCGATTTTTAAGGTGCTACCTTCAGCATGAAGACATGCATGTAAGTGAGAATTTGGGCGCCCAACTTGGAAAGTCAGCCTGGTCACAGCCGGGCGTTCATTTCGATCATCCAGATTGGTGAGAGTGAGTGGGGAAAGTGAAAGTTGCAGCGTTCGCGCTAACTCCCGACAGCACGTGACAGCTTCCGCGCCGCTCAGAACATGGTTCCTCGGTCGCGTCCACATCCCGATAGCTCTCACCATGCCGTCGCCGGATCGATTGCGGCTCACCTTTTGCGGTGACGCTCGCTCCCTGGACGATCGCGATCGTACGTGCGAGCTTACTTTCTGCAATACCAGCTGTTTGCAATCACGACGCCGCCGCGGAGGTGTTTCCTGCTCTCGCGACCCCACACCTCATACGCGACTGCGGATGGTAACTGGTGGCGCGCACGATGCCGGCTGCGCGCCCCAGGGCCTCCTTCGAGCCGATACCACCAGACTTCGATGTGCGCACCTTTGTAGAGAATGCGGACAATTTCCAATATGTCGACCGCATTTCGTATGAAATGATCGCCAACAACGGCATCGAAGCCTTCGAGAAGCTTGTTTTGCTACACGTCGTCATAGGCGGTAAACCTCTGGTAATCGACGGCTTCGAGGAGGTGCTGGATCCTTGGACTTTTACGCCTTCGTGGCTGCGTGACAACCATGGCGACAAGGGTAAGTGCGCCCCTGCGCAACAATCGACACGCACACCTAACAGATGGATAGTCGAGAATGCGCGAAATCTATCGACCAAGGAGAATATCCCTCTTACCATGAAGCACTACCTCAAGCATATGACGAAGCTCACCGAGCAATTCTTCGACGGCCCAGACGTATACCGCGACAGAGCGAGGCAGCGAATCTATCTCAAAGATATCGACTGCCCTCAAGTATGGCATGATAAGCTGAAAGAGCACATCCCTTCGGGGCTTTTCTACCTCAACGAGAGCACAGGTGAACCTGGTGGTCCCGGTGCCATGGACGAGTTGGGCGGTCGCAAAGGGCGAGGCATTGGGCGGGCTGGAGACCTCATGAGCAGCCTACCACCGGACATGCGCGCCGAGAACCTCATGTGCTACATCGGCCACGAAGGCACCTACACCCCGTCTCACCGAGAGATGTGCGCTTCTCTGGGTCAGAATATCATGGTGAACGCTTCAGGCACTATCAGTGAAGACGGCAAGCAGGAGCGTCCCGGGTCATCTATATGGTTCATGACTGAAAGCAAAGACCGCCATGTGGTTTCCGAGTATTGGCTTTCGGTGCTGGGCCATGACATAGAAGTGGAGAACCACTTCGCACAGCTCATCGCCTGGAAGAAGGCTCCGTTCCAGACTTATGTCGTGGAGCAACGGCCGGGCGACTTCATTCTCATCCCACCACTGGCGCCTCATCAAGTATGGAATCGGGGTACCCGTACTATGAAGATCGCCTGGAACCGCACAACCGTCGAGACCCTAGAACTCGCGCTGAACGAAGCATTGCCCAACTCCCGAGTCGTTTGTAGAGATGAGCAATACAAGAACAAGGCCATTATCTACTACACTCTCTTAAAGTACTCCAGTCTCATCAAGTCTGCCCGCGCACAAGTTGAAGCAGGAGGTGAACAAGCAGTTGCGATCCAATGCTCTATCAGAATAAAGCAAGTCCAGAAAGACTTCAAGAAGCTCTTCGACCTCTACAAGATTGTACTGCTGTCCGAAATGTTCATACAAGATTCACGAGAACACCCTGAATTTCTCCCTTACGACAGCAACGTAACTTGCGCGTATTGTAGATGCAACATCTTCAATCGCTTCCTTAGCTGCAAATCGTGCAAGAACCTGTTTAGTTCCGAGATCGAGGAGCCATACGACGTTTGCATGGACTGTTACTGTATGGGTCGAAGCTGTGGATGTCAATCGGGGTACACATGGGTTGAGCAATGGAAGTGGAAGGACCTTGTTCATAAATATGAGGAGTGGCGCGCTCAGATCATTGACATCGATGGCTATGTCCATGAGAAAACTCCGCTTCCGTTACAGGAAGAGCGAAGATATCTCGGCAAGAAGACCTTGGCCCAGGTCTGTCAAGAAGAATTACGAGTTCGGCCGTTTGTGGATATCAAGAACCCGCAGCCTGAGGCCGTATCTGACGACGAGGAACCTGTTGTTGACAAATACGGCAATGTCAAGAAGAGTACGAACAAGAAATCGAAGCAGTGGCTCTCAAAGCACAAATCCTGCCATTTTTGTCTTCATCGACATCCGAAATGGAAGATGGCATTCTGCTCAAGCTGTGATCTGGCCTATTGCTACGGCACGCTATTCCGAGCGCACGATACAATGCCGGTAAATATCATGGAGGCTTTCAATTGGAAGTGCCCTCATTGTATGAGAGTTTGCAATACAGGTGCTTGCCGACGTGATCCCCGACAACATCCATACGAGCCTAAAGGAACTTTGCTAGGTCACGATACCAAAAAAGTGGCAGATCCACGCTCAGTAGAGTGTCTCGTCGACTTTAGTGTCTCTAACCTGAACTGGCTAAGAGAAGAAGAAGGCATGGTACAGAATGCAATGCAACGACGAATGCAGCAGGCGGAGATAGACAAGATGGCGGATCCTTCCCTCGATGCGAGATTTGTCGAAGACGATGACCAGAACTACACCCGATACGGCATCACGTATTCTCCTATGGAGGATGCTAATGGTGTTGCTGATGAAAACGGTGATGGGGGTGTGAGCGGTGCTCCATACTATCACGATCCCGGCATGGCTGGAGAAATTCCTCGTTTGGGTCAGAAGCGTGGTCGTGAAGAACATGAAGAAGCAGAGAGTAGCCACCGGAAAAAGACCAAGGCAAACAAGCAAAAGAAGAAGAAGGACGATGATGCTTCGCCCTTACAACCAAAGAACGCATCTGGCAAGCAATATCAGAAAGAGGTCCAGAGGAAACTGCTCGAAGACGCTAAACGCGAAGACAGATTCACCTTGGTTGCCGCAAAGATGAAAGGCAAATCAAAAGTGGTGAAGCTATCTTTGGCTACTAGCCATCTTGACCGGATTCGTCAAAGACTAGTTCCCACGCGCGCACCAACCGTACGACAAGGTACTCCAGAGGAAGCCGATGCGTCTGGTGACATGCAGTCTATCTTACAATCCGATGTTGTACCGAAGCCTAACGCCCTAAAGAGTGGGGCCGAGAAGGATAAGGACGCGAAGACATATCGTGTTCGTGTAGAAGAGGACGAGGCGTACTCCACACGCAAGCGCAATCCAGAAACTAATGGCTCCGCGAAACCTGGAAGGCCTCGTGGCTCTAAACGTTTCGAAGAGATCACACTCGATTCGGACGAAGAGTTTGGCGGTGATAACGATGAGCCTGAATACATTGGTCGCCCACGTGGTCGCACGTCAAACTGGTTGGCCCGGAGGAATGAAGACGAGGACGCCCTGCCCACTGAACTGCCATCCGACTTCAGAGACGGAGCTATAAGGCCCAACCGGGAGAAAGACCGACAGCGAAGCCGCTTGTACAACGAGCGTCGAAGATCTTCGCCAATAAAATCGAAAGCTGGGATCAGGCCTACGGAGTCATCATCAAAGGACCCAGAGTCAAACAGCACTGGCGATGTGTCTGACCATATTTCTAAGCAAGACGACATTTATGAGGAGGATAACTGTTCCAGCGAAGCGTTCATCCTTTCACAACAAGCCGCTGCCGCTGCCCTGGAAGCTCAGCGTCAAGAGGAGAGGGCAAAGGCTCGTGCTGAAGCTGAAGCTAGGGAAGCCGAAGAGAACTTGCGAGCGAAGATGGCGCTGTTTCCTGAATCAGACGATGACCAGCTGATGGATAACTTCCTCGCTGATCTGTCTGCTGACGATGAGCCGTTGCAAGGAGAGTCGGGACCTGTGGACAAGACACCAGAGCCTGTTCATACAGGGCCACCCCCATCGACCAATTCCATCTTGAGCAGACTCAACGGAAAGAAAATCAAAATTGTTGGACCAGCCTCTCGAAAGAACGGCAACAGAACAAGCAAGGTCACAGCGACAACCCCTTCTGCGCCAGCACCGAAGTCTTCTAGTGTCAATAGGAAGCCTCAGGCTATAGATGTATCAGATACTGAGAGCGAGGATGAGATTCCGGCAAGCGCACCAGCCCCCAAGAAGCCTCTCGGTAGACCATCAGGCCGCCCTTCGATGATCCCTACACGAGGCTCTAGTTCTGGAAAGCGTGGTCGTGGACGTCCAAGAAAAACAATGTAAATGCAAATTAGCAAGGCGTTTGGTCCTCGTATCTTACGGTGCTATTCATGTTTGCCCATATACCAGTTTTTTTAGTAGTTTTTTTTTAGCAAGGCGTTGTTGGTGACTATGCATTTTCTTGGGGTTGCCGGCTAGGATGGAGATTTCGATGATTCGTTTTTCATGTTTAGAGACGGGACATCAGATTCTAGATCTGAAGTTGAGAATTGTACAGTAGCTGCGGTACGCCATATGGCCTGAAAGCA